GTTATATGATGTAATTTCATGTAAGTATTTCTAGCCATGATCTATGTAGGTTAGTGTGCAGACAGTTAAGAAAGAGTTAATGCTATATAATGTAAATATTTATAGCCATGATCTATGAATAATAATGTACAGACAGTTAAAGAAGAGTTAGTGCTATATGATGTAATTTCATGTAAATATTTATAGCCATGATCTATGTAGGTTAGTGTGCAGACAGTTAAAGAAGAATTAGTGCTATATGATATAAGTATTTCTAGCCATGATCTATGTATGTTAGTGTGCAGTAATGGTTTTACGGTATTGTTGATTTGAAGTTTAAAATCCTTGCACGGCTATGATTGCTTGTTTCGTTTTTTAGGCCCCCTGTTGGCTTAGCAATAAGTTTGAGGCCTTATGTCGCTAAAGTTCGGGGTTCAATCTCTGATACAAACAAACACACAATGTTTTTTTTAAGCATTTTAAAAATCTTCGATCATAAAGAAAGGATATTCCAATCATTAAAAATTACACAACGGAAAATCCATACAACTACAGCAAAATCGTAAAAATAGTTATGTGACTAGAGGAAAAAACTGACAATAAGTTACAGTTTTATCACTTTTTTTGTTCACTGCGTTTGGCAGATTTTAAAGTGTGGAGACCATGCGACTTTACATTAAATGATGCGAAAAATATAGAAATGATAAAAACAACAAGGAAGGAAGAAATGACGATTTCTTATTATAATGTTCTACAGATTAGCGTGCTTGGACTGTATCTCCGAGGGTTCGTGGTTCGCGGCCTGTTGTCACAAATACGCGCTTCATACTCTGGGGTCGTGGGTCCGCTATAAGGGATTAAAATTTAATCCGATTATCTTCCAGATAAAACTAACATAAGAGATGACAGTGAGAAATGTTGACTAGCTACTTTCCCTCTAGTCTTTCAGTTCAAAATTAAAGGCGACTTAGCACAAATAGCTCTTTGCGCGAAAATTCTGAAACAAACAAACACATAAAGATAAAAACGGATTTGAGTTATTATAACTAGCCGCTTCTAAGTGAGAAAAACGAATAAACGTACTTTAAAAATTTCACGAAATAAGTTGTTTTCACGTCTTAAATTAATCAAAGTTTAGCGTCGCATTTCTTTCCGTACATCATTTAATTTAAGGGTATTTTTTAATAGATCGAATCAATATTGAAAAAGTCCTATTCAGAGAGCAGATTTTGTATTAGAATTTGGAAATTCAGAATATTTTACGTGTGCTGCCTTCAAAATCAAAACGTATACAAGTTTGTTTGCTGCCTTCAAAATCAAAACGTATACAAGTTTTTTACTTTACGAATAATAACTTTTTTTAAAGCATTTGTTTTCCCGTACAAACTTGAACACTGTTCGGAATGTTAACTGATAGTTTGTTTTATATATATACACAAATCTTACCAGTCTGTTGTTAAGGGTTTTTGGTCAGCGGTATCAAAAGTTCAGTTCGGAGCTGGCTGACGAAGTTGTTTTCGTCTCGATGAGTCTAGGTTAAAGGTTATATATGAGTGAAAACAATAGTTTTAGTATCTATTGAATCCAGGTTCTCGTGTCGAGTTTTCAACCGGAGAGGCTTTGCTTATGATAAACATTATATTCAGGCCGGAGAAAGTTCAGCAGAAACGCACGCACGTTCCTTGCAAGTCGGTTCGTGAGCCGGTGGTTCCACTCGTCTTCGGTTTTGTGGCATTCTCTTGACTGGTAAAGGCTTTTCGTGATCACACCAGCCGCTAGAGGTCGCCTTGCATCGCCGATAGCGCAGTCAGGTTATATTAGTTTATGCGTGACATATTATCAAGTGTTGTAGTGTGGAAATAATGGGGTCCTGCACCCCCCTAGTTCTAACTAGCATCCTAGATTTTATGCTTAAAGATTTAATAACTAATTATAATCAACATGATTCTTTGTGATTATCCGTTACTGATGATACAATAAAGTATAGAAAAAATACGTATTGGTCAGGAGAAATCTCGCGAGTTGAGGCACACCCTATAAGAATGTTTTTCTGCCACACCTTTCAGCAATGCTGGGTATTAATTGTAATATATCATAAAATATATTACTTGTATGCTTCTTTTAGTGTTTATATTTCGCGTTCCATAACTATGGAAATTCGTGTCTTGTGCAGTTATTATTTATGGAAGGATCTACATTACGAAATATATCTGACTATTTCCGAGTTAAAATTGTAAACGGTAATGAAAATAAAAATACTTTTACGATTGACGCGCAAACGCTATTACAAAGATGGCGATATCTGTTAGACATTACGTTTGTTTATTACGGATTTCGCGCAAAGCTACACGAGGGCTATCTGCACTAGCCGTCCCTAATTTAGCAGTGGAAGACTAGAGGGAAGGCAGCTAGTCATCCCCACCCACCGCCAACTCTTGGGCTACTCTTTTACCAACGAATAGTGGGATTGACCGTCACATTATAACGCCCCCACGGCTGAAAAGGCGAGCATGTTTGGGTGGACGGGGATTCAAACCCGCGACCATCAGATTGCGAGTCGAGCGCCCTTACCACCTGGCCATGCCGGGCCTAGACATTACGACGCAATTTCTGTCCGAAGGATATTATTATGAAGAACAATACACTTACATAACCAGTGATGCGTATGCTTTAATATAACTGCCCATGCTGAAGTCTAAACCCGTAAATAACAAATATCGAACCATTACCAACATCGACGACAGAGGATGTGGTAATATAAAACATATTTTATCTGCCTCTTTGCCCAATCATGTAAAACCTATATGGTTTCCTTCGTAACGCCTGAGGTACTTAAACTGTATTTTGTGCAGCCTGCTTCGCAATTCACACCCATAACTCTATATGTTGGTTATCAAAGACCACCAGAATGTTCCACATTGTGTCCGATCCCCCCACCCCCTTCCCCAACGAGTCTATAGATACCTTACTTTAAGTGTAAATAATTTATTGAAAGAATCATATTTTAAGGTTTATTGATATAACATTTTCAGTTTTGTTTTTTAATATTTCACTCGCAATTTTCTTTTGTTAAATAATTTCGTGTATTTGTTATGCATCCCTCCCTGTAACTTTCCTGTGTTCCCCCCCTCACCCCAGTTTGGAAAAACCCTGATTCAAAGAATTGACACAACAGTAAGTTACAACGTTTGGAGTCTATTTTTAACGGGCTTTGCGTTTAGTTTACATCATGGCTATAAATTTTTACATCATATAGCACCAATTCTTCTTTAACTGTCTGCACACTAACCTACATAGATCATGGCTATAAATATTTACATCATATAGCACTAATTCTTCTTTAACTGTCTGCACACTAACATACAGAGATCATGGCTATAAGTATTTACATGAAATTACATCATATAACACTAATTCTTCTTTAACTGTCTAATATAACAAACAGACAAGACGCAGTGTAATTATATGGAAACTTTATATTCAAAGTGATTCTTCTTCGGCTTTTCCCTTCAGCAGGGTTCGCCGTCCTTCTCACGTGTTGCCATCCTCCAATCATCTCTATTTATTGCCAGGTTTCTGCAGTTCCTTTCTTGTTCATGTCTTCTTTAACCATATACCAAACAGACAAGACGCAGTGTAATTATATGGAAACTTTATATTCAAAGTGATTCTTCTTCGGCTTTTCCCTTCAGCAGGGTTCGCCGTCCTTCTCACGTGTTGCCATCCTCCAATCATCTCTATTTATTGCTAGGTTT